CCTCGGCAGATTTTTGTCGCTAACGGTTTTTGCCCGCAGATGCTTCGAGCCAAAAGAATTTCAAACTGGCCGTCAGGAAACGTTCCTTCAAAATTTCAACCTCACAGCATTTCCGGTTCCCAAGTTAGCAGCTTACCCGTAAAAAACTTTGGCGGGCTTGTATATGGGTAATACGCGGGTAAGAGCGCCTATTTTGGGGATGGTGCATGCAGATTAAGTTCTCAAAATTTCAGCCCCGTAGCATTCGTAGGTCTCGAAATGAAAAACAGGTACAGACGAACACACAGACACGCACATAGGCACACACACAGACAAACCCTCGTCAATATGGGTTTTTGCATTGCATAGATGCAAAAAACTCATAAAAATGGTAAAAAAAGCCACACACACATAGAGTATTTACTCGCACAAAAACCAGTGCAATTGAAAAACTTACGAATTTTGACTGCGAACAAGTTCCATGAAATGACGCAACAGCTGCGGTCCACGGCGATATTCCACCGTATCAACGGCCATAAAGAACTAAATTGAACAAAAATCGATTGCAGGAAGCCCCCAAACATCATGAAGATTGCATTTTGTCTATACACACAAACACAAATACATACAAAACATACACGCATGCACACATACAAACTTTCCACACACGCACGCAGACAAACACCCACATATGTGCACACACCAAAAAAAAACACTTACAGAATAACAAATATAAACATACACGAGCAGACACACACAAACGCGCACACCCATACACCCACCTACCCACACACGCCTACCCGCCCACACGCAGACCCACCTACCTACTCACACACACTCACCAACACGCCCCTACCTACCCACACACCTACCTACGCACACACACCCACTTGTCCACGCGCACACACCCACCCACCCATCTACCCACGCACCTACTACACACACCCACGCACATATACAGACAAATACAAATACACATATATATATATATATATATTTAGTTATTCAACTTTTCACAAAACTGGGTTTGCAATCAGCCAACCTTGCACAGCTCGTACTGCACCATCAACCGCTCTCTCGTTAACTGCTCAG